TCACAGACTCTGGCCTCCCTCGTGTCCCGTGTCTTTTGCCGAACAGAGCGCCGTCACTACGCTGGGCCCAGCGCCGTTCGTAGACAGCTGGGCTTTCCCGCTGGTCGCCAACATGGACAGCACGTCTCATGCTGTCAGCCTCTGGTGTGTCCCAGTGCCCCCGAAGCCACCTTCACCAGGAGAGCCAGAGTCCCCTTGGTCCTTGAAGAAAAAGAAAGAAAACCTACTCCGCACCCCCGACCAGTGCCACAGACACCCGTGGCCTCAGACACCTTTGTCACCTGTGTGCCTCAGACACCCGTCATGGCGAGTGGGGTTGGGAGGTCACCATGCTTCTTCTCCATTCCATCTCTGTCCTCTAGACCCTTCCCAGGATAACCTTTGCCCAGCCCATGTGCCATGTCCCCCATGCCCTGTGAAATCACCAGACCAAGTAGACACGTGCAGACCGCCCACCTCCCCCTTGGTTAGATATATTCAGACACAGTGGAAGCCCCTATCTCCCCTGGGAAGTTTGCTCTCCGCATATTGGGTGTTTTTTTCAAATCACTGCCCAGACACAGGGCCAATGCAATCTTAGGTGCAGTAACAAGTCTAATGTACTGATTAAAGCACATAATAGGTCCGCTGAGATCTGCAGGGGTTCAGATCACACCTGTTGCACTAGGTTCAACTCTGTGCATAACAGGATATTCTGTGGCACTTTGCCTTTTGCCCCCCAAACTGGTGGCTATGGCCTGAGGCTGAGGGAAGGAGGTGTTAAGTACCCTGCATTCTAAAGGAAACCACTGACACCTGGGTCACACACCTTCCCCAGGGCTCCCTGAAAGTGACAAAATTAGCCTTATGTCCCCAGTCACCATGTCAACTCCTCCCACCCCTGTCCCTGTAAGGAGGCAACTGGGGACAGAAATGGGTTGTAGAAGTGGGTGGGATCCATGGAGAGGATGGCAGGGGAGCCAAGGGAGGGGGCTTGAGAGAATCGTATGAGGAATGGGGGTTTGTCAGAAGCGGGGGCCAGCACCACATTCCTGGGTGGGGCATCCACTGGGCAGCAGACCAGCTGAACAAGAGAAGAGGGCATTAGAGAGAGGTGGCAGTGAAGACAGGGTGTGGCACTGAGGCAGCAAGGATGTCCCAAGGACGTGAGAGCATCCGGGGCCAAGTTCAAACATGCTGCCAAAGCAGCAAAGTCGGAAGAAGTTTCCAGCCTCAGTCACTCATCACACCCGGGCCAGCCTTCCCCTAGGTTCACGGGCTGCCTGCAGAGGTCAGCTCACCAGCCCAGGTGCCCCTTCTCTCCTGCGAGTTGCCCCTTGGTGATCCTTGGTGGCCTTCGGTGGCCTTTGCTGCTGGTTAATCTCACCTGAGGCCATTTCAGTTTGCCAGGGAAATTTTAATAATGGGAAAAGCAGAAGTGGGATGATGGGGTCTTGAGGACCTGTCCCCAGGAGGCTGTAGGGCTTCCTTGAGACATGCTTAAGTGACCCCAGCTGCTCTGAGTACCACTGACAAGGAGGGTGGCATAGGGTGGCCTATTCAAGCCCCAACTCCACTAAAAGGCACAAGATTCCCATCCCGAGGAATGCTGATCCCTCCCGACAGACATCAGCTTAACTCAAACAGCCCCCTCAGACGTCCTTCCCAAGGAAGGGGGGCTGGAGGTGTCCCCCTTGAGAAATGGCGATGGCTGGTGCTTCTAAGTTGCGCTTTCCTTGGTGGTGATGAAATCCTCCCGTAGCTCTTATTGCTATGATGCGAGACTGTCCTTGGGTTGGTCACTTTCTCCTCTGGGCTCGCAAAACGTTTCACATGTGTATCTGCTTCTGTGCTCCGCAGCGGGCCTTGTGATTTACAAACACCCTGCTCTCTGCCCCTCGCCCCCCAGCTGTGAGGTCAAAGGGCACAGGCATTAACAGCCCTTCTTATGGGCCTGACCCAGCCTGGCAGCTGGTAGATCCTCAGGTGTGTCTGTCACAGTGATGCCACCATGGAGAGCATGGATGCTCTGCCAAATTTTATTTATGAGGCCTCTACATACCATACGTATTAGTTAGCTTTTGTGCTTCTTAGCAAACAAACCCCACAACTCAGGGGCTTAAAACAGACCTCTTGCTCCGGGGACCTGTGGCTGCCACGTGGCTCGGGATGTGGCCCTGATCTGTGTCTTCTTGCTCGCTTACCCGGCGCCTGGGCTGAAGGAGTTGGGGGCTGGCACGGGCCCATCTGTGGCTGCGCAGGGCCAGCGGAGGCTCAGCCCAACCACTTTTAATGGCAGGTGCCACCTGTGGGTGGTGGGGTGGGGGCTGTCCCTCCTGCAGGGCACAGGCAAGCCACCCCGCAAGGACAGGCTTGTGTAATCACACGGGAAGGGGTAAAAAATAGTGATAATCACACCACAGTACAACAAAGCAGGCAGTTTTTTAAAAAAAATTTTTTATTGTGGTGAGACTACTTAATGCAAAATCTATCCTCTTAACAGACTGAGCGTAGGAGACAGTGTTGTTATATGTAGGCGCGGTGTTAGCAGATATTTAGAACTTACTCATCTTGTATAACTGAAGTTTTATGCATGTTGCTACATGAAGAAAATGTGATATATACAGAGAAGGGAGTATGATTCAGGCCCAGAAAAGAAAAATCCTGTAACGCAACCACATGGATGAACCTGGAGGACACTGTGGAACATGCCAGTCACAGAAGGACAAGGACTGCCTGGTTCCACCTCTGTAAGCGATTTAAACAGTCAAGCTCATAGATGAAATGGATGGCGTGGTGGGTGCCACAGGGGGCGGGAGGAAATGGGGAGTTTTTAATCAACAAGGTGGTTTTTTGTAAAAAAACCAATATCGTTAGATCATTGATTCATTTTCCAAGTCAAAACAATACTTACATTTCACCATCAAAACAGAATTTAATGCATTCACTAGGATAATACAAACAGCTGAGGGTGAGGTACATGCCCCCCCGCTCCCAGCACATACGCTTCTTAGTGGATCCTCCAGCCATGAAGCCAGAAAGTAAAACCACAGTAATTGCAGCTCCCGAGCGCCAGGCTCCCAGGACCCTGCATTTCCTGCTCCCGTCAGATCAGGTGTGCACTGGGCGCCGCGGATATTCTTCTTAACTTGGCCCACCCGAGACGGGAGTCTCTGCTGACTGAGGGAAACCAATCCCCTTCTTCACAAGTAGGGTTTAAAAGCTTTGGCTAGGGGCAGCTTGATTTCGGAATGCCCACTGGCCCAATGGGCAACTCAAGCCTCAGTAAGGACATGCACGAAGCTCGGAAGCGTCCAAATGTGACTAAATCCACGCCTTCGTGGACTTACTGATGCAAAACACGACCTCTGGCAGCAAGTCTGTGAATCAAGACGCCACTGAGATGACAGTTGTGGGCGTGTGCTGGGGTCCAGGTGATATTATCTAGGCCGTAAGCCGGGGGTCACAGCGATGTGTCGAATCGGGGGTCTCCCAAACATGCGCCGAGAGTTGCAGCTCAAAACCAGCATCGTCTCCATGACTAACACAGGCCGGCAGGCTCGGCCTCAGAACAGCTCTTAGAATAATGACACCTCAGCGCCCTCCCAAGTTGCGGGTTACAGCTTTAACTTTATTTTTACCGTCTTTCTTTTCTTTTTCTTTTTTTAAATATCTGAACTCTATGACTGTATCCAAAAGTAGATCTCTGGAAGGTAGTTTGGAAAACGTTTTTATCCCACCCATCCAAAGTCCTCACCTAGTCCACGCTGCCTGCTGGTTTGGCGACATGGACACACAGGCAGTGCAGGGACCTCTGTCCTAGGCCCAGGCCCCTTCTCTGGCCCCGGGGACACATCCCAGGGCCCCACTCATTGATTTCCCTCTTCCCAACCCACTTCCCAGGTTTATTCTCCTGGACCCTCCACAAACTGGACTTTGAAGTAGGTTCATCCTTCAGGCAAGAGTCATGTGATAAAGGCTTTGGGGAAACAGACGGGCAAGGGCGACGGGAGGGCCTGGGTGGGCAGCAGGGAGCCACGCCATCCGAGACTCGAGGCCTTCGGAGGCTCTGAGAGTCCTTCCGGCCTCTCCCTTAGCTGGTTCTAGAAACATCCCTGGGGTGGTATCACTCTTGCTATGGCCTTGCACCCCCAACAGGGGAACTCATCCATCCCCACCCTTTCTCCTAATCCCTGCCTCCAACCCTCCCCTTTCCCTGGAAAGGCCAAAGAAGGGCTTTATTTTTGGTCTCATTATAGATTATGCATATTTTATAAACAAACATTTGTATACATTTTTATATAGGAGGGTGTCGCCTAAGAAACATGGGGACGGTGGGACAATATATTTAACAGATTTCAAAAGGAGGGTGCGTGGTTGGTGTAGATAAACCAGAATAAAGCGAAAGTGTGTCAGGCACTTGTGCAGAAGAGGGTCATGGGACCCAGGCAAAGCTGTCAGAAAGTGGTTACAGGCCCCAAGCTCGCCGGGACCTGGGGGAGCCTCGGAGTCACATACGGTGGGAGACGGGGTCAGGGCCAGGACCTGCGGGCTGACGGAGCAAACCCCTTACCTTCGCCATCACCCAGGCTCAGCCAAGCTCCCGCCTCCCGCCTCTCCGCACGTGGCTGACCCCACTCACCCCTGTTTCCTTCACCCGCAACCGTCTCATGGGCGCCCGATTACAGAGACTGACAGAATGAGAGAGAGCGAGGGAATGGGGGAGACCCGGGGGTGAGGTCGGGCGGGGCGGGGGGCAGAGAGCGCAAGCACCGCGATGCGGCCTTTCCGGGAACTGAGATGAGCTGGCTGCAGTCAAAGTCTCCACCCACAGCTGCTCTGGAATATTCCCGAGCACACGGCCGTACAAGGAGGGACATTAGTCTGTGTTGGTACACGCGCCCCCAGGTTCCCGGCCCTTGCTTTAGAGGCCTGCGGGCCTGATACTTCACAAACCCTTGAGGTTATTATCGTAAGAGCTGGCTGTCTCCCTCTGCAAGTAAGAAGCAAGCTGCGGCTCACTACAACCCGACCGAGACCTCCTGCTCGCCGGTGGACGGGGTGTACGTTGAGCTCATGCGGTCCACCGCCTCCCGGTAGAACACCGGGCATTGCTTGCAGAGGCGCCGGGCGATGTGCTTTCGGAAGAACACAGACAGGTAGCGCCGGAACTTCTCCCCGACGAAGGCGTAGATGACGGGGTTGATGCAGCAGTGGGTCATCCCCAGCGTCTCCGTCACCTGCATGGCCTGGTCCAGCCTGTTGGAGCTGCTGCAGTTATTCAGGCCGAAGGAGCCACTGAAGGTGTCCAGGAGCAGGACGATGTTGTAGGGCGCCCAGAAGAGAAAGTAAACGATCATGATGACGAAGATGAGCCTCACGGCCTTGTGCCTCTTCTTCTCGTTCCGACACCGGAGCAGGGTCTTGAGGATGCCCGAGTAGCAGACGACCATGACGAGCAGCGGCAGGACCAGGCCCAAGGTGGTCCTCACTATCGCATGGAAGTTCTTCCACTCGACTGGAAAATAAGGGCCACAGGAGTAAGCGGACTCTTCGAACTGGGCCTTGGTGAAGATGATTCCTGGGAGAGAGGCGAACACGGCCACCACCCAGGTGACCCCGCTCGTCACCGCCCCGAACGTGACCGTCCTGGCCTTCAAAGCAAACACGGCATGGACAATGGCCAGGTACCTGTCAATGGTCAAGAGGATGATGAAGAAGACGCCCCCAAAATATCCCACGTGGTACATCCCTGTGCACACTTTGCACATGACGTTCCCCAAGGCCCACTCATCGGTGGCAGAGTGAATCCACACGGGGAGGGTCAGCAGGAAGAGCAAGTCCGAGATGGCCAGGTTGAGCAGGTAGATGTCAGTCATGCTCTTCAGCTTCTTGCAGTTGATCAGGATGAGGACGACCAGCAGGTTGCCCACAAAGCCCGAGATGAACACCAGCGAGTAGAGCGGAGGCAGGAGCCGGGAGGCGATTTGTCTCACGTCATCTTTTCTGCAGGGGACACCATTGTCCCCATAGTCAAAAGTGGTGGGTTCTTCATCGTTCAGCAGAGAGTGAGCTGTGGACAGCATGCTGTGGCTGAGCAGGGTCAACGTGTCGTTGTCACCCATCTTCCTCCGTCCTGCAAGTAGAGCGAGATGATAACACCCAACAGAACTGCTGCAATTCCTGGTCTTAAAAATATCTGTGCCCCCCTTAAGCACCATCCGTTCTTTGTCTTTGTTTCGCAGTCATCTCCTTGAAAGCGTGCATGCTAGTTTCTCACTTCCCTTTATTCCTGGTAGCAGAAGTCAGTCATCTCCCCAACTGCCACTTGCCAACACCCTTGGCCTTCCCAGAGAGCCCGACTCCCATTATGAGGCGAACATGCTGGACACTGGGCTCTCTCTGCCTCAGCAGGTGACCCATTCCTAGGTGACAATCTAAAGGAGACTCTGGTAGGGGGCTTCTGGGGACACTCTTCTCTGTTAAGAGAGATGCAAGAGAAACCCCGGCCTGACCCTTCCACTCTTGTAGCGTGTGTTGTGAGGACCTGGTGCTTGGGCCCATGAAGGAAGGACCCAAAGAAGTGGAGAAAATCTAAGGAGAGTCCAAACATCACCGAGCCTCAAACCCACCTTTGTGATCTGAGGAGGGTTAACCCCTGCGGTTAAGCTGTGATGACTTTCGTGTTCTGTGACTTGCAGCCCGTAGCCTCCTACTGACACCTTTCTCAGCTCTCTGCCTTCATCATTTTGCCAGAAGGTCTCTTGCCCAGGTTGCAATGACAACCAAATAATCAAATGCCTGGCTTCATCTCAGATCATCCTCATTGAGCCTTTGATCCTTCTGATAACTTCTATTTGAAACTCTTGGCTTCCAGGAAGTCAGCTCCTGTCTGCTCGCTTCTGAATTTCCTTCGCTGGTGCCTCCTTCCCCTGTCCATGCTGTAAGAGTCCCCAGGCACCATCTTTGGCTCCCACCTCTTTACCTCGTTCCTCTTTATGCTTGCCACAGGCTTCTTCCTGAATCATGCCACCTAACCTCAGGGCTCTCAGTCCCCTGAATGCTGGTCCTTCCCCACGCTCTGCCTCCCAGGCCCACCTCTCAGCTCCTGCACCTCAGAGTGGAGCTTCGCATTGTCTGCTGCGTGTCTCCTCTTGGATTTATTAATTGAACCACCATTTACCGAGCACCTACTGGGAGCAAGGCTCTGTTTTAGGTGCTAGAGCTACGGCAGCGAGCAAAGTGGGTATCGCACAGGCCCTTCCAGTTCAACTTACCCCACACTGAACACCCCTGGAAACTCGCTTCAACCCGTGGGTTCCTTACCCTGGCTAGTGTCCTTCACTCCCCAAGAAGCAGAGCTTGGCATTGTCCTGGTCCCTTCCTCTTGAGAAGATTAGGAACCAGGCCTTAGGAGCCAAACAGACCTAGATTTGAGTCCTGCCTCCAACTTACAAGTTGTGCAATCTGAGGCTAATTACTTCTCTAACTGCCAGTTTCTCTACATATGAAATATGAGCTACGCTGGGCTGCCGTGAAGATGCCCGCGCACGGGGACTTAGTGCAGCGCACGGGGACTTAGTGCAGCGCCCGGTGCGGGGACACGCTCTGCGCTGTTATTAAGATGTCACATGACTTCTATCTCCTAACCACCTCCGAGGTTCGTCCCCTCTGAACCTCCTTCAGCTGCCTTACAGGCTTCTCACTTCGGGCTTTGTTGTGGTCTCTTTTGCTCAGGGCTAATTCCCGGCCACGTTCCCTTTCACTCTGTCTTCCCGAAAACTGCCGTGGGATCGTGCCCGTGGCTGCAAGCCCCCAGCAGCCCCTCGATGTGTGTCCCGGCGCCTCAAGGGAGCGCGCAGGTTGCTCACCGAGGCTTTCCTAAGCTCCCCCCTTCAGCCGCATGTCTAATCCCCTCGCAGACCCCAGGCCTGCGCTCCAGGCTCGGCCGCCTTCTCTCCGTCTCCCGCCTCACCGGTTCCTTCTTGCCGCGGCGGTGTTGCCGAAAGTGGCTGGCGAGCTCCTATGCATCCTCCAGCGCCTCCCACTCAAATGCCCCCTCTCTGTGAAGCCTCCTCTGTCAAATCACTCTGATCACCTCCTAGCACAGTGCATGGCTCCAAATGCGCACTTATCACCGTATCTTCCACCCACTGTGTGCTCCCCGAGGTCGAGAACTAGGTCATGTCTTTCTCTCCAGCTCTTACGGTGACACCCCGTTAACGGGGGCACCAATAAAAAGTATGACACTGAACATCATTAGGCTTGATTCTCAAGAATACTCTTTTTTTTCTGGTAGTGACCGTGCATTTTTTTATCCATTTACACACCTTATCTTTTTATATGTGTATACATTCTTTAATTCCTCCTGTGATTGATACATTTCACAGATCTTGCATTTTACGTCACTGAGCCAGACTCTTAAGACCTGTAGCATCTAACCAAGACCTCTGATCAAGCTTGGAAAGCAGTCATGTCCACCTAGAGAATTACAACTATAATCATTCATTGAGAGCTCCTCAAGCTCCAGGTGCTATGCTAAATACTTTGCATACATTAACAAATTTATTGTTTGCAACAAATTTGTGAGATAACTATGCATTTCACAAGTGAAGAAACACAAGCATGGATGGATGAAATAACTTTCCCAAACCCACAAAGCAAGCAGTCGCTGAGCTGGAATTTGAACCCTGAGCAATTCCATTTCAAACGCCGCGGGAGCCCCATCTCCAGGCTCTGAGAGCAGAGATGGGTGTAGAACAGATAACAGATTTTCTAGGCATTTTTCCATGCCTTAGGATCCACACTCACCTACATGAGCATGCCCCACCCATGCACGTACAAGTGTACACGCATGTGCACACACTCGGCCACCAGAACATAAGCTCCATGAGGGCAGAGATCTTTTGTCTTTGCAGTGAGGTATTACTGTGTCCCAGAACCCAATCCAGCACATAGTGGCTACTAAATAAATATCCATTGAATAAATTAATAACAGAGCACTAACAGGCTGCAAGTGACTGAGAAAAAAAAAGCTCCACTGTGGACCAGATTCCTAGGTAATCCAGTGGGAGACTTTATAAAAATGAATATACTGGGGATCCAGCACATGGCCCCTTAATTGCAGCAGGTTCTTGGGCTGTTCTGTATTTAATCAGTTTAGTTTCCTCTTTTGTATGGGAAAGTGTAGACCGGAGCAGTGGTACTCAATGCTGGCCTCCAGTATCACACAGGAAGTCTGTCGGTTAGATACAGCCCAGACCCTCGCTCTGATGATCCAGACTGGGGGTGAGAGGGTGCAAGGGGGTGAATTGCCCCAACCCATCCCACCGTGTGTTCTCTGTGCTTTGTTGTTTACCTGCACTGGCTTCTCAAAAGCCAGCCACCTCCTCTTTATCACTGTTCTCCTGTCCCTCCAGCACACTTAGCTCCTACCACAGCAGGCACTTAGGGAGGTGCTGAAATGCACTGGCCTGGGTGTCCCTGTCAAGGGTCAGGACATGTCATCCAGAATCAATGAAAAGCTACCTCTCAGAAAAACAGATCCCTCATTTGGGCCTCTGTGGGCCTCCTGAATTGAGGCAAGAGGCACATTTTGGTTTGGAGCCTGGACTATGACACATAAGGTCTAGAGCGGGAGAAAATTCTGGGTAGAAAGTTCCAGCTCTTTAAAGTCCTTGGAGTTGGGAGGGACAGAGTGAGGGGGCAGCTGAAATGCCCGGCTGTTCTCACTTTCTTGACTCTCCTTTTTCAGCATGCTTGCTGAGTCACCTGAGCTCTGAGGGGTGGTCTCACCCTGTTAGCATTTCCTCCTAGTCATCATGGTCTCTCTTAACATTTCGGGTGCAGACACCACCCTCCACCCCTTTCTTCCACCTTTCTCATCCCCAAGTTCCTGGCCTGTGCAGACCCTCAGAGGGCTCCCAGCCCCGGTATCCCCAGAGCTGAGATGCTCTGAGCCTATGATTCGCAGAGTGATGGGAAAAGCACAACTCACCAGAGGATGGCTTCTTCCAAGTAGCACAGGTTTGTCAGGTTTCTCAGCGACTGAACTGAGCAGCTCTGGAGGTAGGAACTTGGTGTGCAGAAGTAGGAAATAAAGTTTCCTGCAGAAGGAGAAGGCGGGGATACAAGAGTGAGGGTAAAGGTTTGAAAAAAACCAAAAAAAAAAGAGTCATACAGTTCTTCTTTTCCAGCCAGGAACATTGAACATTAGATTGAGATCTCCAGAGTAGGATTGATTTTGAAATCTTGCTTATGCAACCTTGAGAGTGAGTCAGGCACACCCTGTACATCTGCTCCTGTGTCTAACGACTCTGGGCTTCTTTATCTTGTGGGTCTCTATATCTAGAAATCTACTCTTTTCTGCCAGTCATAATTTGCATGAAACAAGCAAAACAGATTTTCATTTCCCAGAGGATCAGTGCTAATGGGGCTGTTGGTGATGGTGGAGGAACTAGAATGAGGTTTTATGTAATAATGTGTCCTGCTTTCAGTGGCATCATGAATTTAGGATCAAGTTAGAATTTTCATTAAAGAGAGCTTTTTAACAAAAGGGAATGCTAACTGGTCTTTTGTGTCAGAGATGTCCTTAGAAAGAAGGGCCTCAGTTATTACAGGTTTTACTCCTCAGGAAAAAAGTTCTTTTAAAAGAAAATGCCATTGAGGAATCCTTCTCCCCACCTAGACAACAATTTTACTGGGAGAATCAGTCTGACTTAACTATTTCGGAACTTTTGAGTCTATCAAAGGCTTATAACATTTAGGGATAGGCTTGAATGCTCAGTTGCACTTACAATAGCAGCTACCCAGCTCCCACACCCAGCCTCCAGGCAGCCTTGCAGATGTTCCTGGAGCAATTGGGATACCCTGACTTGCAGGAGCCAGGGTGGGCAAAAATTGGACTCTGTTCTCCAAATATCAAGGATCTGTGCTCTGATCACTGGCTACTGCTTCTGATCTCAAAGGTGCAGACAGTCATTGCTGTTGCATTTCCCCCCATTGCTTCAAGCCACTCCTTCTCTGGCTGAAGGGACTTTCAGGAGATTTAAAGGGCTAGTGCCCTTTATTTCTCCATCTATTTTCTCTTTTTCCCCTTTTGGAAGCCAGACATTAAAGACTAGGACATGTAAAGGCAACTGCAGTTCCGGGGAAAATTAGAAAGCGACCACATATACCCAGGGAAAGGTACAGGCTCAGGAAAGACCTAAAAAGACCTTAATTTCACACCTCAGGCTGATCACTGGCACAGACACAACTTGCAACAATGAAAAAATATAACAAAACTCATCATAACCTGGAGAAGAGGTAATGTGATATCCAGAGTTACCACAGTATTAGATTCAAATGTCTAGTTTCAACAACAACAAAATCACAAAGCATGCAATAAATGGGAAATGGCCCATTCAAAGGGGGGGGGGG